TCCCTGCCTCCATCCCGGCCCCAGCGGCAGAGGCAGCGGTGTCGCCGGGCCGGCTCTGGACACAGAACCAGGTTCGTGGAGCCCGTATAGCACGTCCTGAGCGCGCCTGCCCCTCTGTCCACCGGATCCACGACCTCCTGCCTCCCCACTCCAGGGCCCAGCCCCGTCTCTGGTTTTGGCTGGGCTCCTGCCGTGGTCAGGCGGACAGTCGGAGGGCCAGCTCTGCGAAGGCACAGGACAGACCTGCTGAGGTGACGGAGGAGGAAGAGGAGGAGGAGGAGGAGGGGGAGGAGGAGGAGAGAAGAAGAAGAAGACTGAGGAGAGAGCTGGGCAGGGGCTGTGGCTTGGCCTGGGAGACATGCAATTGGTGACAGAGCCGAGCACACAGAAGGCGGACCAGAGATGCAGGTGAGCTCGGGCAGCCCCGTGCCAAGCGCCCTTGGGGGCAGCCCCGTGCCAAGCGCCCTTGGGGGCCGCCGTGGGCTCCCCCTGGGGCTGCGCGGCACCACAGTGCGACCCAGACCCCCCCCCCCCTTTGGGGGTCACAGATATAACCCTCTTCAAGCCTAAATGAAGATTTTTCCTTCCCCTTTCCTCCACTCCAACAAATTCCAGTTGGCTAGCTGGGACCTGGAGCTGTGAAGGAACCCCCACCAGAGTCCCAGTCCTGCTGGTCCTCCACCCCTCCCATTTTGAGGACTGTTCACCCTGAAGGGTACATCCTGGCTCAGAGGGCTGGGTGGCTGCTGCCTTTCTCCTTAGACCACAGATGCCCCCATGCACATGAGCCAACACGGGTACAACCCCAGTGGTGTGGAGAAAAGGGGAAATGGCGGGTAGCGGGAGTGGAGGAGAGGGAGTTGGGTCTGTGGAGAATCCAGGAACCCATTAGGGGCCTCCCCTTTGTCTGTATTCAGCCCTAGATTCTCACCTCCTCCTGCCCCACTTTTTATTCTGAGGCAGGGTGGGTGGGAGGTGGAAACCAGCTGAGAAGGAGATAAGAAGGGATCCTCGGACTTCATTGCTCCCCACCCTCGGGTGGCTAAGGGACCCTAGGAGATGTGTCCCTCCAGGTAGCTCTCCCACTGTGAGGAGTGGAGGGGCCAGGCCCAATGGGCAGTCCCTCCCTGTTCTTGCCTTGGGCCCCTCAGCCCAGCCCCATCCAGCCAGCAGCATTTCCTCTTTGTTCTCAGAGCTCCTGGGGTGGGGGTGGGGAAGAAGGGATATGTTAGAGGATGGGAACAGCGCTGCCCTGGTGGGGTGGGAGGGTAGGAGGCCCTGAAGTGGGGGACAAACCCCTTGCCTGCCAGACCAGCCCTCCCTCAGTTCTCCTCTGCTTGGCTTAGATTGCCAGAGGGCATGCAACCTAGGCTGCCCCTGGGCTCTAGGCTCAGCCCTACTGGTCATTATGCTAACAGCTCAGCACCAGTGCCTTCCTTGCCCAGGGAGCAATGAACCTGGGGCTTCCCCTCATCTAGTGAGGAGTGCTGGTGAGGGAAGAAAGGGTTAGCTGTCCTAGACTCTTTGTTCTTGTGTGGGCTGGGTGGCTCTCAAGAGACCTCATACCTCTGGGAAGATGCCAGCACCTGGTCTGCTGGGTCAGCTTGCTTGGACTTCCTCCTTTCTCCCCATGACCTGAGGCAGGAGAAAGAAAATGGGGTGACAGAAGGGATAAGCCAAAAACTCCTTGGAATCCAGATGGGGATTTCAGGCAGTACCCAGCTGCCCCTCCTGGAGTGGGGCTTAGCAAAGGCCAGGGCAGCCCTCTGTTGTATTCTTGTTGTTTTGGCCCATTTTCCCACCTGCTGCCTATTTAAGTGTGAGGTGGGCTTGGTCAAGGCTGCAGTGCTCCCAGAGTCTGGAGTTAGAGTGGGTCCTGAATCCAAGGGGCCTGAATCCAGGTATCATCAATGCTTGTGGGCTGAGGGCCCCTATGTGACTGCAGGGAGGTTAGGGAGACCACTCTACCCTCTGTAATAGTCCTTTTTGATCCATGCTCAGCTCCTCCATCCCCTGCCTCTGAATATTCATTTTTCCTATATTAGATACTGTTTTCTAAAACCCAGTATTCTAGAGGGACACACACACATATGAGTGTTCACCATAAAGTCAGACAGAATCCCTGGTGCCAGCGATGGTGCTGTACTCCAGGCACCTACCCAAGCAAATGGCTGGAAGATGACAGTTGGAGCTGTTGGGAAGTGAAGCGGTAGGTGATTTGTGCAGGGGCCCCATGGAGGCATGAGGCAGTGTCAGATGGAGGGTGAGGAAGTAGATTGTGTGGGGCTAGGGAAAGGCCTGGAAGGGGAGGCAGGAGGAGGTGGTGGTTTCAGAGTCAGAGCTAGTTTGCTGGCCAGGGTCTCTTGGTCTGTCTGCCCTGCATGTGGCATGTCTATGGAAGGATAATGGCCTTCCAGCCCAGGGTTCCCCCCTTTCCGATGGCTCTGCTCTGTTACCACCAGTAAGTTCCTCTACATATTCCCCCATCACCTGGCTTGATCCAGCATCCCTACCCAGAGGCCCTCTCCTCTCCTTTCTTTCTCGTGGTCTCTCCACTAGGAAGCCTCCCTGACTGCTCCAAGTCACTGAACCTCCTCCAGGCACCCACAGCATACTAGTAGAATCACGTTGGATTGCACATAGTATCACACCAGCCTATTCATTCATGCATTTATTCTATACATCCTGGCTGAGCTGCCTGCTTGGCTCCAGGCTAGGCCCTCCCATGGCTCTCATGGACAGCCTTGAGCATCCTTGGGCAATCCTGTGCCCAACCCCTGAGCTTCCCTGCCTGGTCCCCAAGGCACTGGGAGGCACAAGGGAGCAGCTGTTGGCTGGGGGCAAAGACTACCTGGAGAGGACACAGTGTCCTTGGCTTGTACTGATGGACAGAGCTGGGTAACATCAAGGATGCCCCAGGCAGGGGTTGAGGTTGAGGAGAACCAAGGCAGGGTGCTCTCAAACAGATACTCATAGAAGGTTGGGATTTGTTCCTGGGGGCTGAGACAGTCAGGGGTCTCCAGAAAGAGAGACTGAGTGGGTCCTGAGGTAGTAGCAGACGTTAAAGAGACACACAGAAAGCAGGGTATTCCAGAATCGGGACAGTTCTTTGGAGAACATGTATGAGGGAGGGCAAGTACATTTCCAAATGCATTCAAACCATTCTTGATGCCGACCTTTGTTTCTGTGTTGAATAAATGAGTGAATGAATATCCTCAGGTGCTATGGGCCTGGTAGAGTTGTGCTGACAGCAGTCTCTTCCTCATGTGTGTTCAGTTCCTTCCAGGTCACTTTATAGTGAAGTTGTTGAGGGTGGACCCTGGAGCCAGATGCCCAAGTTTAAATCTCACCTCCATACTGCCTGGCTCTGTGACTTTGGGCAAGTTACTTCATCTCTCTGGGCTTCAGTTTCCTTATCGATAAAATGAGGATAAGAGCAGTGCTTACCTCTAGGGTCATCATGAGGATTAAGTATGTTAATATATGTGAGGCATTTAGAGCAATACCTGGTACACAGTAAGCTCTCAAGAAATGCTAGCTACTCATAGTTTCTATCAGTGAGGTGTTCTCAGTCTTACTGTTGCAAGTGCTACAGAGATTTGATTTTATAGCTAGAAAACAAAGCCACAGAGGTGGAATGCCTTGCTTCAAGTCTCTGCTAACAAGCATGGGGCCCAGGCTAGAATGCCTTCCTCCTGGCCTCTGCTCTGGGGCTCTGTTCACCGTTTTGGGTGTGGCCTGCTAATTAACTAATCAATGTATTTAGTAATAATAATAACAATACAATGAACACTGTGACCCTACTCTCTACCCTGAATGCTAGCATTTAATATGTCTTCCTATGTGCTTCTTCTCACCTTATCTATTGGCCTCTTTCTCTAGGCAACTATTACCCTAAATTATCTATTTAGCATTTCCTTGCCTTTTAAAATCATATATTTTGATACATAGATTGTTCAGTTTTAGTTATTTTTGAACTTTATAAAAAGAACATGAAACCATACACAGTCCCTTGGAATTTGCTTTTTTATTCAACATCATATTTGTAAACTTCATTTCTATTGTTGCAAATAATAGTAGATGCTGTTCATTCATTTCCACTGATGCACAGTAGTCTGTCATTTGGACACAACACAGTGTATTTTCTGTTCTTCTGTTAGTAGGTTGTTTTCCTTTTTGCTCTTACAAACAGTGCTGCTGTGAACCCACTTGTCCTGTCTCCTGAAGCACAGAGCTGGGATTGGAATTATGGGCTAGAGCAGGGTGGGCAAACTTTTTGACTCGAGGGCTACAGTGGGTTCTTAAACTGGACCGGAGGGCCGGAACAAAAGCATGGATGGAGTGTTTGTGTGAACTAATATAAATTCAAAGTAAACATCATTACATAAAAGGGTACGGTCTCTTTTTCTTTTAGTTTTATTCATTTCAAATGGGCCGGATCCGGCCCGCGGGCAGTAGTTTGCCCACAGCTGGCCTAGAGGCATGTTTGCAGGTACCTTTACTAGAAAACATGCCCAAGTGATTGAATCCTTTATGTGTCCCCAGCAGGAGGTGATGTCCTGTTGCTCTGCACCCTCACCAGCACTCCTATGCTCAGGTGTCTCCATCGTTACTATAAATTGGTAAACATTATGGTCTTGATTTGCATTTCTGGAATTCAAGGTTTCTGGTGTATGGGTTGAGATGGGCAGCAGCCAGTGTGTAACACATGCTCACTAAGTGATCATCCCCTTTGCACCTCAGTGAGGACTCCCTGACGAAGAGGAAATGGAAAAGGGGCAAGGAGAGCCTGAGTCCCTGTGAATTTAGAGTCAAAGGAACCCCAGTGATTCTGGGTTCCACCCCAGGATGGGCAGGGGTGGTCCTAGCTTAAGAGATAGAGGGAGCCTGCGCTTCATTATTGCAGTAATGCCCAGGACCCTGAAAATCTGGTCTCTACACCTTGGCACAATGTGGGGCTTCACATTAATGAGTACTCAATAAGAGTTTGGTGAGTTGGGAAAAAAAACAGAATAGAACAAATGTATATTTCTTCTTCCTTCATTCCCACCTCCTTGGGGAGTCCTCCCTGATTGTTCTTACCATTGAGTGACTGAGGGGTGGTTGAGCAATCTGGCTCCTGGGCATGTTCAAAGGCCCTCCATGAGGCCCTCTGCCTACTCACAGGGGCTGAGAAGCCCAATGCTGGCAAGGTAATTTGGAGTGCCTCCCTCTGCCAGCCTGGTGCCTTTCTCTGCCTGGACAGGGGCCCCTGGATCTGATTAGAGAGGAGCAACGGGGCTGGTAGAATAATTATGCCTATTTCATGTGAAACCCAAATTGATTGCCACCAAGGTAATATTACCAGGGTATTGTTCTTCATCTCCAACCACTTATTACATGTTATTAGTGTGTGTGTTTTTGTTTTT